ATTGACATTATTTGTTCTCCATACATTTTACCCTTTTCACTGTACCTATTCTATTTTAGCAGTATTTACATGCACGTACGTTTCTGACTCCTATCTCCTGCCGGCCTCTGACTTAATGTACACTACCTAGGTTTTCAAATGGACTTGTCTGATGCACTTCCTCAACACAGACTTAATTTACACTACCTAGGTTTTCTTCCAAATTGGCTGGTCTGATGCACTTCCTCAACACTGACGCAGTTTACACACAAATAGCCTCTCAATACACTTCCTCGACATGATGATTCAATAATCCTCCTCGCAGGGGCGTCACTCCAGGATTGTGTGACGCAGCTGGCTGGGCCACCCCTCACACTTTCATCTGGTTTTACAGTCTGGACCTTCCTTCTGCACCTGGCACCCGTGCGCTCTCCTCCTAGTCGTGCCATCAGGTTCTGCACGCTGGGGGCAGGTGGGGTTTCCCATAGTGTCAAATGTAAATGTAAATGGTCCGTACTTGTATAGCGCCTTTCTAGTCTTTTTGACCACTCAAAGTGCTTTTACACTACATCTGCATTCCCCAGTGATTCATACACTGAGTCTAAGTGCTGAAACGGAAACTAACATTCACACTCATTCATAAAATCGGGGTTCAGTATCTTGCCCAAGGACACTTCGACACGCAACCAGGGTGAGCCAGGGATCGAACCACCGACCTTCCGATTAACGGCCAACCTGCCTCCTGAGCCACAGCCGCCCCAGTTCTTGAAGGGGAATGTCTCGGGTTACGTATGTAACCCTCGTTCCCCGAGATGGGATTAAAGTGTGATTAACAGAAAAACACAGAGGAACAGAAAAGCACAGTATCAGACTCAGTTGCTCCTCCCAACAAACATTTGTAACTTCGACCAAAATTTTGGAAACTTTTTGAAAAAATGTAAGATCAAAGAAACTTTATCTGTCTGATTAATGTAGCGCACTAAAAAGTACATTTCCCTCTGAAGTATAAAGTAACATAAATTGCAAATACTCAAGTGAATAGGCCTACAAGTTCATCTTAGTAGTCATCAGTGTCTCGACCCTGAATATGAGATCTGAACATGGTTGTTGACCAGAAATTTATTATTTATTTAATTTATGAAACAAAAGGTTTATTTACTTTAAAAGGCTTAGCAGTTACAAGAGGTATTAAAAATGTTTGTCCTTCCTACTAACATAATTCAATTCAATTTTATTTATATAGCGCCAACAGTTATCTCTGAGCGTTTTTCATAAAAGAGCAGGTCTAGACCGTACTCTGATTTACAGAAACCCAACAATTCCCATCAAGAGCAAGCACTAGGTGACAGAGGCAAGGAAAAACTTCCTTTTAAGAGGCAGAAACCTTGAGCAGAACCATGGCTCAGGGTGGGCGGCCAGTAAAGATAATGTTGGCACTGACTGAATGAATAATGGTACAGAGGATGGGGTCAGAATATTAGAAACACCTCTGAATATAATGGAGTCCAGTACACAGTCAATAATCAGAAAAGTAAACTTAATTGCAGACCGGCTGTGTTGGATTGTAACAGATTGTACAGGTGTACCTAATAAAGTGGCCACTGAGTGTATGTTAAACCTTAAGTTTTACTCTCCTAGTTGGGAAGGATGAAGACATCTGCACAAGTTGAAAATGTTTCAAACTGAGTGAAAGATTGACACTTACACTGAGACTCTACTACCCTTACTGCAATGCAACAGGTATTAATGACACGTTTACACTGTCCAGTTAAAGCTGCACTTCCAAAGCCTACATGTGCCTCCATTACCAGGAACTATCACTGTATATATTTAGAGATAAAGACTGGTCCTAGTTCTTAGTTTCAGTTCTGTTTGTAGTTAATAACAAATTATTAATGACTAAATAACATTTTATTGGAATTTTCCATAATACAATATAGAAAACAGTAAAAAAAAACAGGGCATTTTTAAAGAAAATAATACTGCTGTATCTCTAACAAAACACATCTTAGAGAGAGAGGTTACATTGACTACATGAAGAGGTGGTGTAAGACACACAACCTCTGGTGTGAGAGACACAGGTTCAAATCCACTGTGAGACACCAATGTGTCCCTGAGCAAGACACTTAACCCCTAGTTGCTCCAGAGGCGTACCACCTCTGACATATATAGCAATTGTAAGTTGCTTTGGATAATAGCGTCAGCTATATGAATAAATGTAATGAAGATAAAATTGTACACACATTCTGTGCAAATTCTGTACTTTTTGAATATTGAAGCGTGTGCACAACTTAGGTTGGATTAGTTGATGCCTGGCATTCCTAGAACAAGACTGGATCCTGATCCTGCTAAGGCCTTCCTCCCAAACCTCATCCCCAATCTGCATTACCAGTTCTGCCTCCCTGGCAAGTGTTTTGGCACAATTTACCTGTTCAGAAAAGACATTTACAAATTGTGAGTCTGACCAGTGTTTTGTTTCCAGGTGAGCCCAACAAAAGCAAAAGCTGTCTTTCTTAAGGGAGAGACTCCACGTTTGGTATACTCTGGCAGACATAATTTCTAACCTGCAAATAACAGAAAAAATGTTTTGTGGGAAGAGATAACATTTTTTAACTAAGTAAATGAGGCGAATTGCTCGTTAATTGCTTGTAAATCGCGTCTGCAGTGTCATTTCGGCCACTTTATAAAGCAAAGCCCGCTGCTGATGGAGAAAGTTAACAGGGCTGACAAATACAGGGAGAGTGAAAAAGAAAGACGTAGGCCAAGCCGCTGTGTTTACAGCAGAAGTGTATGTGCGTGCTTGTGTGGGGATATTAGAACAGAGGCGAAGAGAGCAGATTCAAGTAGGCTAGTGAGTAAACATTAAAATAAGGTGGAGAATGAAGTAGAATTAAAATGGTAAAATAAGAAATGATCTAAGCTACTAGAAATAATCATTCTGTGGGAAACGCTGAATATATAAATAAATTGATTCACATGACGACGGTGCATAAGATGACTTTTATCACTTGCACAAGTTTACTATGGGTTTAATAATAAGCCTAATAATCAGGTTGCAATTTGTGTAAAAAACACATTTTTGTTTTTCATGAAAAACATTTTTCTGCAATGCATCCCATACTGAATCAGAATCAGAATCAGGTTTATTGCCAGGTACATTTTCACATACGAGGAATTTGCCTTGGTATAAATTGATGCTTTACAGTATACATGATAAATATAAATATATAAAAAGTAAAAAAAAAGATCAAAAAATGTACAAGTATACAATAATACTATAATACAATGCTGACAAGTATGTGCAAAAGTTCACCACTTGAGCATAAAATTTCTAAAATCTGCGATCATCTCCACTGTCTTCTGAGCATTGAGCTCTGGACTGTTCTGGCTGCACCAAGTCACCAGATGGTCGATCTCCCACCTGTGTTCATGACCTAGGATGTTGCTGGAATCAGTCCAGCCAGAGACCCCTGGTCTTATCAGTGCTGGTAGGAAGGATGCTATTGTAGGCCTCGCAGAGACCGGGAAGAGGGTGGTAGAGGTAGGAAGAAAACAGTGACACACAAATGTTCGGTTTGTGATTAACTCTGCAGTAGAGAAAGACAACAGCAGACAAACAGACAGAGAACACAAAGACTCTACAACATGCTCAGATGGATAGCCTGTTTTAACTGTATGTGTAAATTAGTTATAAACATGTGCTCTAATAAACTATTGAGCATTGGGTGCCAGTCACTTACATTAAATGTTAAGCGTCAACTCAAATGAGTTACTGAGCTCCCCCCTAACCACAGGCTAATCATTTGGCACTGAACTTTGCATTTTATTAATTTCTATTGATCAAATTAAATCTGAAAACCTTTTCACTCAATTAAATGAAATGAAAACAAAATAAGAAACAAAAAACAAACCCTGCTGGTATTTGCATATAGTCAGATTTGGGCAAGTAGACATAAAGCGCTTTGAGTAGTCGGAAAGACGAGAAAGGCACTATACAAAATACAGACAATTTACCATCATCATGATTATTTTGGTCAGTATTGAAGTCATGGTTATTTAACACAATTAATGATTGGCTTTTAGAAAAATCATGCATTTATAAAACATTTAAAATTTAATGCTTCATTATTTTTAAATGATTGTGCATTACCCCAAACTCCCACAAATAAGAAATAGTAATCCAACATTAACTTTCAAAAGCATCTACACAGACGATTATTACTATTGCAGAACGCACTTAAGCTGTGGAAAAGTGAAGGTGATGCATTTTGATGGTGTGGATTGCAAAATGGAGGAAGAGAGAGAGAGAATAGAGAAGGACGAAGAAGAGACAGGCCAGAGAAAAAGACAAAGTGTCCAAAGAATGGGAATATTTCAAGCTAAAATACAAGATATAATCTGTAGAATACTTGATTACCTGTTACTTAACATAACGCTGAAATTCAACCGCGGTGTTCTGTCAGGAGATGCAGCGACTTCAACGACCAGTAAATAAGTATAAATCAGGTATTATGTTAGAAGAAGCAGTGGACATTTTACAAACATGGAAGAGGTAACACAACACTGAACACACCTGGTTTAGCACAAGTATAAATAATATTTAATATGGAAAATTCCGCTAGTCTTATATCTGTAGTGTAAAATGCTGTAGGCTAAAGCTAATAATGGTGACAAAGTTTTAGCAGTTATGACCCGTCATCAGCCTGGCTGGGAGGGAGTTTCAGGCTGTTGGCAACGGCGGCGGCCGCAGCTGTATAGGAAAGTGTGCGCTGGATTTATAATAACCTAAAATACAAAATTTGTGTTATAGTGAAATGGCATGCGGCACAATAATCATTTTATCTTAATTTGTTTTTATAATCGGAACTGAGATTAAATCTGTTTCAATACAAATGCCTACTAGACATAACGTTCAATTATGGGATCCACAAGTATGCTACTGGTATCGATAAGCTCGGACCTTATTGACTTTTTTAGATTTTGAGTCCTTGTAGAAGCAGGTCTTGATAATACACTGATAATACACTGAAGGGGCCTTAATACTGATGCAGGCTTTTTGTCTTGGCTGAAGATTTGGAAATTCACAGGTGTAGACTTCACGGTCAGACACTGTCATTTTTTTGATCTTGATGGAGGCGTTGCTGGACTTCAGTTTATTTGGAAAATGTGAGACGCGACCTTTTAACTAATCTTGAACTGAAACTGAAACATTGCCGTTATCATACATGAATATGTCCTGATCATCTTTCATCCACTTCTGTGACAGTGTGCCATTGAGAATCATTCTCAATGTTCTTCATTGGGCTGAAGGAACAGCAAAAAGTAGCGTCACAGTCTTCTTCCACGCTGATGAACCTTGGTCCTGGAAGATAAAAACATGTTTTAATCAGTATGTTTACAATTAATCAAAGTAAAGACAGAGATATAGAAGTCTGTTATTAGAACAACATATCAACTCATAAAGAAAACTTCTCGTGTTTTGACCCTGCTTTGTCCTTCAGATTGCATATTTTGCAACTTAAATTATAAAACAAGCTGAACATGAACTTTCAGGGAATTAAAAGTTTTTGTCAGTATAAGGCAACACAGTTCAACAGCACCACAAACTACAGCCTCCAACATGATGTCGAACCAAAACCTTTCTGAACATTATAACCTTCATGGAGAAGGATTTATTGCAGGACTGTTGTAATAGACTGCCTATTCGCTAGCTGTACCTAATAAACTGGACACTAAGGGCCAGATTTACTAAACGTTTTTATGAGTACAAACATGTGCAAACTGGATATCACCAGCAAATTAACACGTAAGCTGATCTACTAACGTTGTGCACGCAGAATGACGTCTTCCAAAAGTGCAAGATAGCATCTGTTGTTCATTTAGTACTTTTGCCTTAATGAATATGCAATTTGGGGCGTTTCATTTTTATTATGCAAAGTAATGGGAGGGTAACATGCAAATACATTTATTTAGTACACCCACTGTGATCTAACAAGGCTAAAAACAATTTCATGTGAGTGCAACAGTATCTGTATTTAATACGTTTGATACGATGGCTCCTGTTATTGTTGCCAGAAGGAGACACAGCCGTAATGAAAGAACACATAGAGAAATTAACATTAGATATTATTCTATATAATATATAGAAATGCAATTATTTTGTTTTATTTATTCGATGAATAACGCGTAAAATTCATCCAGCCAGAGGGAACGATCACCATTGTAGGTATCGGAGAGGGAGTGGGGCGTTGAGGCGTACAAGGACAGGAACAGGAGATCGCGGAGCGACCGGGCACGGTGCAAACAGTTGGTGATAGTTCCCTCTGGCTGGATGAAGCACAACGCTCCTGATTTTACACTTAATACTTAAGCTTTTTAAAATATTTTTGAAAACAAGACACATTAACAAAAGGCTTTTAAAACACAGATCACAGAAAACTGATTGGCACATTGTAGCTTGTGGCACTTGGGACTAGTTTTTTAACCAGGCACGTATACACAATACACCAGCATGACCCACACAACCCATGCAATACTTAATGTAAAATGTAAGATTACTGAACAATATTTCTAACAATAACTTTAGTAAAACAGAAACAGAACAGGGGAAGCGTGTTGCTCTCAGTAGGAGACGGCTAGATGGAGCACATATTGGCAATATGGCATCCTGGATCTAAATCTACATCTGTCCACTGCAGAAGCTCTATCCACAACCTGGAGGAGGAACTAGTATAAATGACTGTAATAGTGTAACATTATAACATTAAATGAAGAGTGAAGTGTTAATTTGATAGTATACTCGTCAATAATCACCATAATCAACCATTTATGAATTACAACTTTTGGAAAGTTTGCTGTAGCACGTCAAACTTGGGAATTTCGGTAGGTTGTAGTCGTTACTCGCACTATGTGATCGAAAATCATTTTTTTTAAAAATCAGTATCTATTTCCATTGTTATAGACTGAATGGATCAAATACTGAAATGAGTCATTTTGCAGGTTTGTGATGCTCAAAAAATGTATCCACTTTTTAACAGCTGCTTGTTTGGCCACTAGAAAAACTGGCTTCAAAGAACAGAGCACGTCCTGGGGGCTCGAAGGAAATATGATGCTACCAGACCAACCAATGACAGTTCATGTTCAAGTAAAGCAGACTGTCTGAACCCAAGTGGGTGACACGGTTGGCTTTCAGAGGTTTTATACATCCAAAAAAGGATGTGAAAAGTCTGCTGTACGTCAAGTTTACATCAAAATGTTGCACAAATTTTAACTGAATATCAAGAAAATCTGCAAAATAACATGTTTATATCCTCTATTGTTATGTGAATATTATGAGTTAAGGTGGTCTCTTTCTCTCTACCTGCAGGTAGGAAAACATGCAAATACCAACAGAATGATTAATGCCTGAGAAGATAAAACAACTGTCGAGACTCTAAACATGAGACACATGTAAAGAACTTGTGTTGTCTGCTCATCGTGAATTTGTTTATACAATATATTATTTAAACTTACCTCTCAGATAGTGTAGTGCCCATTTCCGGACTAAAGATACAGCTAGAACACCAACCAAAACAGTGCAGAGAACAGCAACAACCCATTCAGTGGAATACTCTTGGGGTAACTCTGAAACAGATGATAAAAAGTGAATGTAACAGTCAGAACGTAGCTGCACATCATTAACAGCAGGTTGAACATCACAGCCAACACAAAGAACATCTAAAGGCTCCTGAAATCTAGAAGCTAAAACTGTCAGCAGATCCAAACAGCACTGGGATGAGTCTCAGCAGGAACAGTGATGTTAGCATTGGTCTTATGGCCAGTTGCCTCCTGCTGGGCTACACAGCTAAGAGGTTGGTTCTGGTTCTGGTCTCAGTAGTGAGGAGGGTAATGTCGTAGCATCGTCCTCTTTCTGAGACGTGCTGCTCATCAGTAGGAAGAAGGTTTGAATCTCTGTCCTGCTATTTCAATTTATACTGAAAGAGGCTGTATATTAACTTATTGGGAGAAAACTGGTATTTTTACGTAAAGTCAGATGTTAAACACCCCCATTTCGCCAAAATGGTTTGATCCTCGTTTTGCTGCAAAGCTTCGACTGTGAGATTGACAGTCGAATCAGGCTCCGCCCATTGAAGCAATGAGTCTTCGACTACTTGGGGGCAGCCACACCACATTCAGGGAACTCAAATATCACAGTCAGCAGCAGCAAGCACTCACCTGAAACTAATGCAGTCTGACAGTCCTGCAATAAATCTCCTTCATCAAGGTTTAAATGTTCAGTTTGTGTTCAAACTATTTCAGAGACGCGTTTCTGTTATTTAGCCTGCACTCACTGATATACATGGGGTGGAGAAAAAAATAGAAACAGCCGTCAGTATCAGGCAAAACAGTTTAACAGCACAACAAACTGCAGCCTCCAAAATGACCATGAAGTCGAATCAACATCTCTTAGACAATTAAAACCTTCATGAGGAGATTTATTGCAGGACTGTTGTATTGGACTACATTAGGTTTGGCTAGGTGTTCCTAATAAACTGGACAATTAGTGTAAAGTTCAGTGTGTAAATGTATTTTAAGAAAGAAATAGAAGCATACAGGCTTGCCCCAAATAATGTCAATAACACAAATAAAAAGTCACATTATATAGCTAATAGATATTCACATTTACAGCTTTAGTTCAGTGAACTTGTGTTTCTGTCCATTTTTCGCTCAGCTAGGATCTTTAAGAACTACAAGCAGCCTGATAATATTTGGTAGATGGACATTATTTGTACAGCACTTTTGCTCCGAATTCATCCATTCACACACAAACTCACTCACAGACGTTAGCGAGCAACCATGCAAGGTGCTGGTCTGACGATCGGAGGTTTAATTTAATCAGGTCCATTTTTTATTTTCTGCTCTGTGGAATGAAATGACTCTACGCTGACGACAGAGCAAGAGTTAAAATCAGATGGATAAAATAATCTGAATATTAAAATACAAGTAACGTATAGCAGAGCGCAAGAAGTCGTTATTTTCCTCAATGACAATAACAGTATTATTGCATTTAGTCAATCATTTGTTCTCGAAAAAGCTGAACAAGAGTGGAACTTAGAAACACCATATATCAGGGTATAATTAACAGAATGACTGATTAATAATCAGTTCTGTCAGAATTAAAGGCCACTCGCTCTCTTCTGGTTCACCTCGTTAACTCCATCACTGTCTGTTAATCTACTATCTGTCTAACCACAACCCTAATCCTAAACTTAACCTGACACTCATTTTAGCTTTAACCTTAAAACCAGGTTTTAACCTTCAAAAAGCCTCCAATAAGTGAGAACCTGCCAACATGTCCTCACATTCATACAGTCTGGTCTAGACTCAAACTGGTTCTCACAAAATAGAAATACAACACACACACTTCAGCAGCCAAATTCACAGCACATAAAGCTAGTTAAGTTTCTGGTTCATGTAGCTGCACTGAATCACTGGGGTCTTTAAATCATTGAACCTGCAGGAAGGAAAACAAAGTTAAATTGAAGAAACCCCTCCTGCCTTGATCCTACCCTGGTGTAAATACCAACAGAATGCTTAGTGTCTGAGAAAATAAAACAACTGTCAAGATTAAACTTGAGACACATGTAAATAACGTTGTGATGTCTGCTCATCGTGAATATGTTGATACAATACATAATTTAAACTTACCTCTCTGATAACCCCATAATAGAAGAAGAGCTAGAACGCCAACAGCAAGAACAACAAGGTCAACAGCAACATCCAGTCCAGTGGGGGACTCAGTGTAGGACCCTGAAACAGATGATAAAAAGTGAATGTAACAGTCAGAACGTAGCTGCACATCATAAACAGCAGGTTGAACATCACAGCCGACACAAAGAACATCTAAAGGTGTGCACGCTCCTGAAATCTAGAAGCTAAAACTGTTAGCAGATCCAAACAGCACTGGGATGAGTCTCAGCAGGAACAGTGATGTTAGCATTGATCTTATGGCCAGTCGCCTCCTGCTGGGCTCCACAGCTAAGAGGTTGGTTCTGGTTCTGGTCTCAGTAGTGAGGAGGGTAATGTCGTAGCATCGTCCTCTTTCTGAGACGTGCTGCTCATCAGTAGGAAGAAGGTTTGAATCTCTGTCCTGCTATTTCAATTTATACTGAAAGAGGCTATATATTAACATATTGGGAGAAAATATTGGGAGAGTATTTTTATGTTAAGTCAGATGTGAACACCCCCATTTCGCCAAAATGGTTTGATCCTCGTTTTGCTGCGAAGCTGCGACTGTGAGATTGACAGTGGAATCAGGCTCCGCCCATTGAAGCAATGAGTCTTTGACTATTTGGGGGCAGCCACACGTGCTCGGGCATGGGAGGCTTTTGGGCTTCCTGGCGGCGCTAGCTCTGCTAGACACGCTAGGAAGGCCCTTCTTTTTCTCCGGGGCCATTCTGTTATGTCGCCAGTTAGAGGCTAAACAGGTGGGGGTCGCGTTAGCCACAGAGCTAAACGGGTGTTTCGGAATGGTTTGTATGTGTTAGCTTGCGCTAAACGATACGTTAGCTTGCGCTAAACTGGTATGGATTGTGGTGTCTGTTAGTTTAGGCTAAACGGATATACCCTAATTCCCTCCCGCTATTCTTCTTCTTCTTGTTTCCGGTAGACTAGACGCAACTGTGGCGTATTGCTGTCCTCCTCTGTTCGTTATTCACATCTTAATGCTAATTGCCTATATCTTTTTGTATAAACCAGTTTTATGTACTGTAGGTACTCGATCAGTTATCACTATCTAAGTTAACTAGAGTGCGTATGCTTAATGTAGTTTCTCCAATTGCTCCCAGGTCTCTAAACAATTTCCTCCTTTGGAAAGAGTATTTTCTACAAAGAACTAATACATGCATCACTGTTTCCTTATCTCCACACTCACATGTTCCATCAGGGTGTTTACCAATCAGAGCCAGCCCACTCCTCAGCCCACAGTGCCCAAATCTCAGTCTGGATAGAACTGCTGCATCTCTTCTCTTACCTCTAAAAGCACATTTTCCTTTCTCTACAGTTCCTTCTACTGAATAATATGTTTTCCCCATTCTTTCCTTTTCCCATGATTTCTGCCACATTTCATTCACTGACCTATTTATTATTTCTGTGTAATCTGGTAACCCATATTGTAAATTAATTTGAACTCTTTCCTCCAGCACCGCCTTCTTTGCCACCACATCTGCTTCCTCATTACCCTCCACACCCATGTGCGCCGGTACCCACACAAACCCCACCTCATACCCTGCTTTGTGAATTCTATACAACACCTGAATAATTTCCACAAGTAAATCGGGTCTAGATTTCATTTTCATATCTTTAATTGTAATCAGAGTTGCTGCTGAGTCGCTACATATAACTGAATATTCCTGTTTATTATCTTCGACCCACTTTAATGCCCATAGGACTGCCACCAGCTCTGCTGTGAATACCGACATATGATCTGGAATCCTGTCTCTGGGATGCTTACACCAAAAGCCACTTTACCGCTCTCAGGATCCTTTGAGCCATCAGTATAGATTTGTAAGTGGCCTCCCCATATTTGACACATCCGGGCTTTTATCTCCTTCACTACAGCCTCTGACATATTTCTTTTGCTTGTTTCCATAAAATGTAAGTCAACATTGGGATCTGGGATCAACCATGAAGGTATATCTGGACGACATATTGGTGGACATACATTCAAATTCATAATACCAATTTCCTCTGCCATAGAATAGAGTTTTTCTGTGAAGTTTGTTTTGATCCTTCTTGCTGTTCCCATGAACTCCCAATGTTGACTCAACAGGGTTTTTGTTGGTAGTTTTCCATCCTGTCCTTTTAGTTTCATTATATACTTCAAACCAATTTTATGTCTTCTTATTTCTAATGGCATCTCCCCTGTTTCTATTAATAGTGCCGGAATTGGGGTTGTGCGAAACGCCCCACTGCACACTCTAAGGGCTTTTGCTTGGACTGTGTCAAGGGTAATCACTGAAGGGGCTGCTGATCCATATACCACACGGCCATAATCCATAGTTGATCTTATCATTGCTCTGTATATCGTCATCATAGATTCACTGTCAGCTCCCCAATCGGCCCCTGCTACACACCTTAGGACATTATGACATTATTTTCCCACATTTCAAGGAAACCATCTCAGTATGCTTCGTCCATGTCATCCTTTCATCTAACCACATTCCTAAACATTTTAAATGTTTCACTCTTTCAATAGTCCAATTATAAATCTGTAACATCTGTGTAGGCATTTTCTTTTTATGTCCAAATATCATGCATTTCGTTTTTTCTGTAGATATTTTAAAGCCCCAGTCATCAGCCCATTCAGTTACTTTGTCCAATGCAGTTTGCGTTTGACCATAGATATAGGAGATGTTCCTCCCTTGCTTCCAGATGGCAGCATCATCTGCAAACAATGAGAACTTGAATTCTTACCTCACATGATCGTCCTTGTCTTAATCCACTCTGGTATTCCACAAAAACCTCCAGTTTATCCACTAGCTGAACAAGAACTTAGAAACACCATATATCAGGGTATAATTAACAGAATGACTGATTAATAATCAGTTCTGTCAGAATTAAAGGCCACTCGCTCTCTTCTGGTTCACCTCGTTAACTCCATCACTGTCTGTTGATCTACTATCTGTCTAACCACAACCCTAATCCTAAACTTAACCTGACACTCATTTTAGCTTTAACCTTAAAACCAGGTTCTAACCTTCAAAAAGCCTCCAATAAGTGAGAACCTGCCAACATGTCCTCACATTCATACAGTCTGGCCTAGACTCAAACTGGTTCTCACAAAATAGAAATACAACACATACACTTCAGCAGCCAAATTCACAGCACATAAAGCTAGTTAAGTTTCTGGTTCATGTAGCTGCACTGAATCACTGGGGTCTTTAAATCATTGAACCTGCAGGAAGGAAAACAAAGTTAAATTGAAGAAACCCCTCCTGCCTTGATCCTACCCTGGTGTAAATACCAACAGAATGCTTAGTGTCTGAGAAAATAAAACAACTGTCAAGATTAAACTTGAGACACATGTAAATAACGTTGTGTTGTCTGCTCATCGTGAATATGTTGATACAATACATAATTTAAACTTACCTCTCTGATAACCCCATAATAGAAGAAGAGCTAGAACGCCAACAGCAAGAACAACAAGGTCAACAGCAACATCCAGTCCAGTGGGGGACTCAGTGTAGGACCCTGAAACAGATGATAAAAAGTGAATGTAACAGTCAGAATGTAGCTGCACATCATAAACAGCAGGTTGAACATCACAGCCGACACAAAGAACATCTAAAGGTGTGCACGCTCCTGAAATCTAGAAGCTAAAACTGTTAGCAGATCCAAACAGCACTGGGATGAGTCTCAGCAGGAACAGTGATGTTAGCATTGATCTTATGGCCAGTCGCCTCCTGCTGGGCTACGCAGCTAAGAGGTTGGTTCTGGTTCTGGTCTCAGTAGTGAGGAGGGTAATGTCGTAGCATCGTCCTCTTTCTGAGACGTGCTGCTCATCAGTAGGAAGAAGGTTTGAATCTCTGTCCTGCTAACCACAACCCTAATCCTAAACTTAACCTGACACTCATTTTAGCTTTAACCTTAAAACCAGGTTCTAACCTTCAAAAAGCCTCCAATAAGTGAGAACCTGCCAACATGTCCTCACATTCATACAGTCTGGTTAAATTGAAGAAACCCCTCCTGCCTTGATTCTACCCTGGTGTAAATACCAACAGAATGCTTAATGTCTGAGAAAAATAAAACAACTGTCAAGACTCTAAACATGAGACACATGTAAAGAACTTGTTGTGTTGTCTGCTCATCGTGAATATGTTGATATAATACATTACTTACTCTTACGATACCACGATAGAAATACAGCTAGAAGAAGAAGAACAACAGCAAGAACTACAACAGCAACTATCCATCCAGTGGAGGACTCTGAAACAGATGATAAAAAGTGAATGTAACAGTCAGAACGTAGCTGCACATCATAAACAGCAGGTTGAACATCACAGCCGACACAAAGAACATCTAAAGGTGTGCACGCTCCTGAAATCTAGAAGCTAAAACTGTCAGCAGATCCAAACAGCACTGGGATGAGTCTCAGCAGGAACAGTGATGTTAGCATTGATCTTATGGCCAGTCGCCTCCTGCTGGGCTCCACAGCTAAGAGGTTGGTTCTGGTTCTGGTCTCAGTAGTGAGGAGGGTAATGTCGTAGCATCGTCCTCTTTCTGAGACGTGCTGCTCATCAGTAGGAAGAAGGTTTGAATCTCTGTCCTGCCGCCTCTACTTCAGCCTGTTTACATGTGACTGTTGCTAAACTCCTGCTGTGCTGAGATCTGCAAACGTGTGAGGCGATCTGTCTACAGCCGAGCTTCTCTGCACCCTGAGCCGAGGCCACCGTGGACTCTGGATTACGGCTCAGAACCACATCTGGATTTTATCACAGCTGCTGTTACAGCGAATATTGATTCAGTAAAGAGTCTGAGTACTTCTTCCAGCACTGACTGCTGCCCAGCGATGTCCAGATTTAAATCATGATGTGCTTCTTGGTGGAGGGTCGGCGGTAAACAGTTACTGGGTCACAATGGGAGCGGAGCGACACACAGTCTGGATTTATGCAGCACAAGTCTCTGGAAGCTCCAACTCTTAAAGCTAATAGACTTTAACTCTTTAATAAAAGGCTGCAAAGAATATTTAGAGATTCTTGAAACATGTTTAAGAGTAAAATAAATCATGTTGTTGTGAAAATACATGTCTGGTTATGATTTCTGAATTTGAATTAATTAATTGAGAAGAACTCTTATCATCTTCTGCTGCTTTAATAGTCAGAATTACAACAATTATAAAAAGATAATTAATGTTTGAAACTTGGAGCTACAACATGAATAAAAACCAATAATGTATTTTACAATTGGTACTAATTACAAGTTTACATTGTTCAGTAAAAATGCACTTCCAAAGCCTGTATCTGCCTCCATGGTGTCAAATTATTACCAGAAACTATCATTGTTTATATTTAATGTTAAAGTCTGATCCTAGTTTTTAGTTTCACTTCAATTGGTAGTTAAAATATAATAATAAAATTATCAATGACTAAAATCTTCTCTAAATCTGAGTGTCCTCATATTGTTTGTGATTCATGTTTGACTGGCTGCTATAACTCTGCAGTTTCCCATTAGGATCAATTAAATTTGTCTCTATCTAATCTATTTATCTAATCACAGCTAATAAATTCTTTAGAGAGCCTCGGTGTGTTTTGGTGTTACATGTGGCTCAATGATTCTTCAAGTTCAGAACCTTTTTCAGACTTTAGTCTCTAAACCTCTAAATGGGGTGGTGATGGTATATATAGTGGATAAGACACATGCCTTTGATGTGAGAGACTCGGGTTCAATTCCCCACTGTGACCCATCCACCATTGTGTCCCTGAGTAAGACACTTAATCCCTAGTTGCTCCAGAAGCGTGCGACCTCTGACATGTGTAGCAATTGTAAGTTGCTTTGGATAAAATCATCAGCTAAATGAGTAAAAAAAGTAAATCTCCCTCGTGAGTTGTTTTCATGTTGATCCTCAGGATCAGGCTGCAGCAGCCATTTTGAGTGAAGTTTACTAAATTCTTGTGTTCCTGTGTTTGATCAGACTGATCTCAGAGTTTCTTTCTGTTATTTCCCTGCAGACCCTCTCATTCTTCCTCTCATCTCTGTAGATTCATGAAGTCTCAGAGTCTCAGTATAAGAGTGAAGCTTTCACTCAGTTTGAAACTTTTTACACTTCTGCTGACATCTTCGTCCCAACCTGCTTTGAGTTCAGTCTGAACACATGTAAACATGTTTTAAAAAACAAACAACACATGAACAGTTAAAATTAAACTTGGAGGAATCTCACCATGGATATATACGTGAGTCTCGGCATAAATCTGATGTTTGATCTCCTCCTGTGTGGCTACACAGCGATAGCGGTCGGTCTTCATCACAGTAGTTTGGAGGGTGATGTAGAAGCTGCCTCCTCTTTCTGAGACCTGTGGCTCCTCACCAGGAAATTTGTTTCCAGCACTGTCCTGCCACTCTACTGTAGGTTTTGGAAAAGCACCTCGAACTTCACACTGCAGCAGGGCCCAGTCCTTCGTTTGACGGAGCGTGATCACATATGGCTTTGGAGCTGCACCTGCTGCACATTTCAGATGATACACATGATATTTCACACATTTCTAATTTCTACCAAAAGTTTGGAAACCAATTACAGATGCAAACACTGTTACTGACTCATATCATGACAGAAGCTGAGATCCAGTGAAGACGTTTGGACAAACTGAATATTTACATTTGTTGAGTTGAAAAAATTATCTTGAAACGACGTCACATGAAATCTGTTGTTTGATATATTGACAATATTTTCTGTTGCACTAAAGTAATATAAACATGTGCAGTGTTTCCCCTAGGATGGAGTTGTAGCAGCGGAGGTGAAGCAAAAAAAACATTTGTGTCTGAATATGTCTGAATATAAAACCCCCAAAAAACATGTCTCAGCAGCAGTGCTGTTGTGTCCATGAGCAAATGATTCACATCAGAATAGTTTAAAATTTCAGTGTTTTCCCATAGTCTTAGATGCCCATATTTGGTGGTGATTGCGGGGAGATGGGGTAAATTTTACTTTTAACAATGACAAATATGCAATTTCACATCATTTGGAACCATTATTTTAACCATATCTGTGAACAAAGAGTTGGAAAAGCTTGAGCAGATAATAAATAGCAACCAGAAAGCATAAGGACTAAACTTTAGTTTTAGTTTCCATCCTCTCTCCACAGTGATTTTACCTTCATGGCACAGCACCCAAGCCTTTTGGGCCTCACCTCCTAAGCCTTATAATGGCAGGGAAACCCTGTAAAATGACCTCATAAAAATCATCAGCTTTAGACATTTATCTGTAAAAATTAATATGAAAAAATAGGCAACATGACAAACACCTCCGTTAATTACCAAGCATTTCATTTACACAATAAAATCCAAAAGAAATGTTTCCTCATTAACTTAAAAGGAACGTCTCGGGTTACGTATGTAACCCTTGTTCCCCGAGAAGGGGAACGAGACACTGCGTCGGTGACGACACTATGGGAACGCCTCTGGGCGTGGCAGGGCTGAAATCATGAATGAAACTACTCCAATCCTATTGCCGTTGCTAGAACGGTAGCGTGTGATGGCTTAACTGGAGGTGTATTTAAGCAAGCTGGCACATCGGACACATTAGCTCTTGCTCCAGGCGGGGCGAGGTGTGGCGGACCGACGGAGTGTCTCGTTCCCCTTCTCGGGGAACAAGGGTTACATAACCCGAGACGTTCCCCTTCGAGGATACCCACTACTCCACGCCGAAGCCTCCGCCTGCCCCCCCCAGAGTGCAGTAACCTTAGGCACGACTAAGAGGAGAGCGCACGGGTGCCGGGTGCAGAAGGAAGGTCCAGACTGTAAAACCGGATGAAAGTGTGAGGAGTGGCCCAGCCAGCTGCCTCACACAAATCCTGGAGCGAAGCCCCTACGAGCCATGCCTCAAGTAGAGTGAGCCCTTACGGCCATAGGTGAAGGTAACCCGCGCACCTGACAGGCCAGGGAAATAGTCTGAACAATCCAGTTGCTGATCGTGTGTTTAGAAGCGGGGAACCCAGCCTTGGGGGACCCGAAACACACCAGCAACTGGTCTGCTTTCCTCTACCGGGAGGACCTCAGAGTGTAAATACTCTGTGCTCTGACAGGGAAGAGCAAATTAAGTCTCCCGTCCTCCGCCGTCACATGAGGTGGGTGATGAAACGCCTGCAGCAACGTAGGCCCTGCCAACCTGGATGGAACCTTAGGGACATAGCCCGGACAGGGGTGCAGGATGGCTCTGACCCTCCCCGGGGCAAACTCCAGGCATTGTGGAGACACCGAAAGTGCCTTGAGATCCCCCACCCTCCTCAGAGACGTGATAGCGAGGAGAAAGGCCATCTTAAGGGTCAGGTGCTTGGCCTCAGCCGACTCCAGGGGTTCGAAGGGGGCCTCAGCTCACGCTTCAAGAACCACCGCCAGGTCCCAGGTGGAAAGCCTGGACCGAGTCACGGGTCTCATCCTCCGGGCTCCATGGAGGAAGCGCACGACCAGTGGAAGCCTCCCCAGAGGCGCATCCCTCAGAGGGGTGTGGAACGCCGCCACGGCAGCCACATATACCTTGAGTGTGGATGGGGAAAGGCCAGCAGAGAAACGGTCCTGGAGGAACTCCAGTACCATAGTCACCGGGCAGGTAACTGGGTCCACCGCTCGTTCTCTGCACCAGGCGGCAAACACATTCCACTTTAGGCCATACATCTTTCTCATGGATGGGCCTCTGGAGCTGAGCAGCGTCCCGACTGTTCCTGCCGTGAGGCCTGCCTCCAGGAATTGGGCCCCCTCAGGGGCCAGACCCACAGTCTCCATAGGGCGGGGCAAGGGTGAAAGATCTGGCCCTGCGCCTGAGACAGCAGATCCTTCCTCAGAGGGACCTGCCATGGCGGGCCCTCGAGGAGTGTCCGAGAACTACACTCGGGGTGGCCAAAACGGGGCTACCAGCAGTAGACTGACACCGTCCTGACGGACCCGCTCCGGAACCAGTGACTGGAGGAAAGGCATACAGGCGCAGCCTTGGCCATGTCTGCACCATGGCCTCCAGCCCTATCGGGGATGGGGGCGTGAGGGAGAACCACAGGGGACAGTGCGTAGTCTTTTGAGATGCAAACAAGTCCACGTCTATGGGGCCGAACCTTTTGCATAATAGCTCCATCACCTGGGGGCAATTTATGCGCCAAGAGAAATGATGCTCCTGCCAGGAGCCTCTTGCAAAGCGGCCGTCCATGACCGCGCCCCACCCCGCGAGTGAGGCGTCTGTCGAAGTAATTGTCCTGCGACATGACGCTCCCAGCACGGGACCCTGGGACAGGAACCAAGGCTTCCTCCATACTGACAGGGAACGAAGGCAACTGCTCGTAACCCGTATCAGACGGAACGGATTTCCCCTCGGGGAGAATTCCTTGGATTTTAACCACCACTGCAGGGCTCTCATGTGCAGCAGGCCAGACGGGATTACGCTGGACGCTGCCGCCATGAGACCCAGCACCCTCTGAAAGTGTTTCACAGTGATGGTGCGGCCTAGCTTCACTCTGGTCACCAAGGACAAAATGGACCCGACGCGTGCAGGTGACAGGTGGGCCCGCATCGTCGTCGAGTTCCACACCACCCCTAGTCCTTCTTCGCGTTGAGATCTAAAATCGGACGCAATGTCCTTCTTGGGAACTATGAAGTACCGGCTGTAGAACCCGGACTCCCTTACTGGCGGGGAAATGAGTTCTATGGCTCCTTTCTCCAGCAGAGAGCGAACTTCTTGTCCCAACACCTGGCTCTGCCCCGCGTGCACCGCAGTCCAGACCACCCCGTTGAACTTCTGCGGGGGGTGGACCCGGAACTGCAGCCTGTAGCCATCCACTACAGTGCGCAATATACCATGTGAGCCGCTCGGGGCTGGTGGCCGTTGTTATGCGTAGGTCCCCGGTGGCACCCTGAAGTGGAGGACCGCCAGCGAAAACTCGCCGGCGACCCACGGTGTGTGAGCCCCATCGTTTTCCAGCTGCAACCCATCGAGGCGGGCAGACTGGTGAGAGCTCGCTGGCGATTAGCGTGTCCCGAGCGCCAAGACAGCGGGAAAAACAGCGCCTGTTGCCTGAGCCGCCACCAGGAGACCTTGGTCAGCCTCTCGGGAGGCTGTGGGCGAGAGCGCCGCCTCGCGTCCCGGGTTTGTTGAGGGGGACTACGAGAAGCGATGCTTCGCTTGTGGCTCCGGCAGTAGGAGCTAGACAAGGGCTGAGCTCATCTCTCGTCAGCCATCGCCGTCCTGGACCCAGACCGGCGGGGGAGATATTGCTCAAACGCCTCTCCCTGCGTCCTAGTAGGAGAGAGGGGCACATCCAGGAGAAAAGCCTTCTCCTTCCCCTGGATGCCCGAGAGGTTGAGCCACAGATGGTGCTCCGTAGCCACCAATGCTGCCATGGAGCAGCCAATGCTTGGTAACACGGAGCGTTAAAAAAACGACTGTTCAGGTGTACCTAATAAAGTGGCCACCAAAGGTCATAAGGAGAATTACTCTTAGCCTGTTAAAACAACTATATAACGCCTGTAAATACAATGCAGGGTGTCAAAGTAAACAGAAGCTCAAAGCACCAACCACATTTTTGATATTTGTTAGGGCAGGATGTATGCTGTACATTTGTAAAACTCAGACCTCTTGCTACGTTTGAACCTCCCATTCAGACGAAAACAGTGAATCAGAAGACCTAAAACTGAGAAAGTTGAAAACACTGCCGACCCCGTAGTTCTTTTAAGTCTGTGTAGGCCTACTCCGGATAATGGTAGCGTTTTAGTAGGGACAGGCAAAAACGGAGGACTTTAAAAACGATGATGCAGACACTCTAAAATACACACAAAAATATTTTGTACTGTGTAAATAACACTTAGGCCTAAACTGTGCATGTAGTCATATTTACTTTTCAACAGCGTCCAGTAGGCCTGGGATGTTTTCCTGAAGTTGAAGCACCCCTATAAATGGTCTAAAATCGCACCTGCAATCTGCTAAAATACAACTTGACTGAGAAAATAGAAAGTCATTCACAAAGTTCTGAACACCGGTAGGACAATATTCAGACAGTGCTTTACAATCATGTAGTTTTCTGACTCTGAAGATTGTCACGGCTTTGGATCTGAATTTCAAATGTGAGAAATCAAGAGAGAGAACAGAGGGAGGAGCAACTATTTCTGCTTCTATTAAATTTATTATTTTTATTCTCAACTCTTTTTTGTCAGCAAATCAGTAACTCTCTGGTGCGACAAGAGTTTATATTTGATCAGAAATATCAGTGATGTGTCGCTACAGTTAAGAAGTGTTGACAGTTTGACATGAGGAACAGTTTCTGTGCCGGAGACGCCCTGAACTTCTGCTGCCATATAACGGAAACCTCAGCAAACTGCGCAGCTCTGTTATACAATTGTAATTAATCAGAAGGATGCTGTAATTAATTAGGCTACATTAATCACATGGTATATTGATCTGTGCTAATTATCAGGACATTGATTATCATCCATCCATTGTCAACTGTTAATCCTGTGTAACTTTCAGGGTCGCGGGGAACATTGATTATCAGTCTAAGTAGCCTAATTAATTTTCTTACCTTGTTCATCAGCAAACATTGTTTCAGACCGAGCCATCAGACAGAGACACACGAGAGGAAGAAGCTTCATGTTTGTCACCTGAATTTTAAACTTCACTTTTAACTTCACTGTAACGCCACTAACGGACATGTAACGACTTCAGGCTGCGTCAGTGCAAAACACTTTCGGTTTCGCAGCTTCCGGAACACCTCCGGCTTGAAAAGCGTTATATCGACTACTATTATACAATACATCTATAATTATGACTTAACTCGTGAAATCGAAAACTGCACTTGTTTATATATATTATCACACAGTATTTTTTTCTGCGTGGTTTATGTTTTTTTCTTATTTTTCCTTATGTTTCATACATATGGTGCTAGTAAAACTTCTGAACCAAATTAATAGATTTTAATACAACGTGCTGTAGATGTTCATAAAACACAAAACAGGCCTAATAAATGAAAATGTCTGTCCAGCATTATCTGCATTTACTTTTTCCAAGTCTATAATTATCGGGCACTATCACCTCAAGTAAGCCTTATACCAAATATATTATCAATATTATTGTAATATATAATAATATTAATTAATAAGTCCTTCATTCATGTGTAATGAATTGTCGGTGATGTGTTTCCTGTCATTGAGTCTCGAGCAGCTTGCAGATCAGTTACATCTTCATTTAAAGCTTTTTCATAGTAAGCTAAACCAGCATTTAGTGTAATCTCCAACAAAAGCATATTAATTCTGCCTGTTATAGGTTATTACAGGCTACTCTGTGATATCCAGGTCACTTGTTGGTGCGATCATTGTGCAGTCTCTCTCATTGTGGACCATCTGTTGTCCCTTATTTTCAGCATGACTTACATATAGGCTATAAATCACAGTGTGGTTCTAGAAATAAACAATAATAAACTACTAATCTTTGTATCTTAGTGTTGACTTAAATGTGATAAAGTGTTTATTTTCAGGGTTTAATAAGAATTTTCAGGGTGCCTATAGGACTCCACCAAAGTATCTGCTGTCAGGTAAGCCAAATCAAAATACTCTCTGACCAAATTATAAACTCTCATTTTAATCCTGAAAGATTTTGTAAGGCTGTAACTTCCATCAAAATATGTAATATCATATGTGTGCCTAATTATGTCTGATGAGTAGCTAATCTCTGAATAACAAAGCTGTTGAGGTGCAGCTTATTAGTGATAACGTGCCCCCTGCTGGTTATAGCCCTACATTAAAATAAATTGCTCAAATATAAAAGTTTTGACAGATACTCATTACAATTGTCTGGCCTGTATCATAAAGGAAAAACAAAAACACAAATGACACCTGAATATGGAAAATAAGGAGCTTCAACAGAAAATCCGTCTGGGAAACGAGAGGGTTTGGCTAAGCAAGAGAAATATGTGATACAGGCTATGTGAAAGGAGTTAACATTAGGATATGGGGCTCTATTTGTTGTTGTTAAGCAGGATAAAACAGCGTAACACGAACTGAAGTTGGATATTCGTTCTTATTTAAATTTCATTTTATTAGCCTACACTTCCTTAAATGTGAGGGGTTTTAAATATTTGGTTAAATATTATAAAAAAACTACAAGAAACTAACAAGTTTGATAGTTAGTTTCGAAACCAGCAGAGCTGCTGGTGTTGCATTTGTTTCAATAGGACTGGAGGGTATATTATCACACACAGGGCAGACAGGGAAGATCACTGGTTAATGGCGTGGTTTTAAAAGTTGATCATGATTTTTCTTATGTTAATTAATGTGTATGGTAATAGAACTACATCCCCAAACAAACACATGCTGGAAGATATCACTGAGGTAGTATCAGAGCCCTTTAACGTCGTTTTTTGGACGCATTTTCATGTTTTATTCAAACGTTTGGACAGAAATGATTCAGCTCTGCAGGAAATGACACGATACAAGTTCATCATCAGTTAGAAACATCAACATACATGAACTTTCAGAGAACTCAAATATCACAGTCAGCAGGAGCAGCAAACACTCAGTGTCCAGTTTATTAGGAACACCTGAAACTAATGCAGTCTGACAGTCCTGCAATAAATCTCCTTCATCAAGGTTTTAATGTTCAGTTTGTGTTCAAACTGTTTCAGAGACGAGTTTATGTGATTCAGCCTGCACTCACTGATATACATGGGGTGGACAAAATAACAGAAACACCTGTCAGTATCAGGCAAAACAGTTCAACAGTACAACAAACTAAAGCCTCCAAAATGACCATGAAGTTAAATCAACAATCAATTTATTGCAGGACTGCGGTACACTCAAAAAAATATTTTGTTGGACTTACTTCCAGTTATCCAGTTATGTCAACAATTTCCACCTAACTGAGTTGTGTTAGATTTAATTAAATAGTTTTATTAAGATGTCCATAACTGACTTATGTGCAACCAACATAAATGTTTTAGGCAATTCCAACATTATCTGGTCAACTTGGATTTAATTAATAGGTCAGTGTCCAGCTAACTACACTGATGCCCATAAATTCAACAAAATGCTGTTTCTTTGGCTTTACTTAACTGTGATGATTAATGCTAACATAAAGACATTTCATTATACTGAATTAACTCACTTATGTAAATCTAACTTAACTGTTGGACATCCAATACTCAACTGCATTTAGTAATACCAACTAAACTGTACTTTGTTCAATGCTAGTCATTTTAAATGGACTTACTAAACCTGATTATGTCAACAATTTCCACACAGTGTAGTTGAGTAAATACAAATGAAACTACTTTGGTTCAGTGAAGAAGTTCATTTATTACCAATGAAACACATTATACTGTAGCACCACCAACCTGGTCAGCTGCCTGAGTTCAAAATAACAGATACCTATAAAGACTGATTTGTATCACCATATCAACCAACATTTTCCATCTTCTTCTTACCTAAGAGGGCTACCTCTGAGGCTGGTGATTTTCTATGTTCTTCATATTGTCAACAAATTCTATCAAAAAAACCCAACAACAATGGGATTCTATGGCACAAGGGAATAAGACATATCAGGCTTTAACAACTTAAAGAATCTACTTGTTAAATGATACATTCATTGTTGCTTTTAGTCTTTCAAAGGACTTATCTATAATTTGAAAATTATAGAAAATCGCCAGCCTTACCTTTCAACTCTATCATAACCATTAGCTTAATTGTCACAAATGTTTAAAATCCCGACTTGTTTGGTAAATGGTACACATTTCATTAACACTCCTAGTGTAGCGATTAAATCAGTTCATGACTCCTAAACCTAGATTAACTTAATTTTTACAGTTTTAGTTGTAGTAAAATAGATTTGACTGACATTTTTGCAATGAAGAGCTATTCTAATTAGCATAACCAGAAGAACCTTCTATATTTAAACGGAAAATCAATGTTATGCCATGTAGGAAATGCTCCTACAGTGTAAAGAGTTTTGTTAAATTGACAATACAAAATAGAATACAGAAAAATTCCAAAAGTGCACCATCTTTAGCTTGGGAATGGACATTTTCAAGAACAGCACTACTTGTTGAAATCAACATGTCATGCTAAGTACATTACAAAGATCAACTTAAAATTTGAACATTCATTTGGTGCCTGTCTATACGCTCACACAGTCTATCGCCGTGTGTAATTCATTTGGTTTCTCTCACCCTCATACAGTTTTCATACCACAACACTCAATACATCTTATTGCCAACTCATTCACATTGATCTCTCTTTCAGTCTCCCTATTTCAAACTGTTGTTCTCCCCTTCTCTAACAAAAATAAAATGCAACTGCTCTTGTAGTGTAGTAGCTCAGTCTAATACTGAGGGCTACTGAGGTGATTTAGCCCAGGAGTGCCCTGGCTGACGCGCTTTTCCTTTGTCTTTGTGTTACCGTACTGTATTGTTTAAGAATCTCCAGACTTTGTTGTGTTGCTGATTAATAAGTTTATTTGTTTTACCGTGCAGAGTAGAATGTCCATTTAACCTATCCAGTTTCAACGGCAAAACCATATACATACAATCAACTGTCAAACAAAAGGTCTCCGCGCCAATGCGCCACAGTGGTCAAAAACCCTTTGCCCTTCAAGGTCAAATCACCTGCCCCCAACAGTTTGGATGCTACCTATATAACCTTGACCCCAGGTAATATTGGAGCGACACCCAATTTATAAACAAAAAACAACACCCAATATCAAAATGCACAAAACACCACATTTGGCTCCTACACACCGGCCACTAATTGTTAATGACCAGCAGCCATTACAATTCAAACAAAAACAAAAGAGCCAAAATGTTACAATCCATCAAAGTACGGTCAAGCCCAGCATGAATAAATTTATATTCCATGCAGCAAACAGAGCTTTGTCACTGGCCTTTCAATGATGTTAGTTTTAGTCTGTAATCTTACAGACCGCACAAGCCCATGTTTGTTTGGAAAAACCTCCAGAACCTTGCCGAGTGGCCAAGAGCCACGAGGAGCTGAAGAATCCATTATTACCACAATGTCTCCAGCAATCAAACTCCTCTTCTTTTGATTCCACTTTTGCCTCTCTTGAAGCAATGGTAAGTACTCTCGCATCCATCTCTTCCAAAAAAGATCCGAGAGGTACTGTACCTGTCTTCAACGTTTTCTCCCATATTGGTCGTTGGCTGGTTTACCCTTCAGAAGAAGAAGATGGTTAAGTAAGAGGTTCCAGGTCACTGGGATTATCCGAGAGCTTAGTAATAGGCTGATCATTCAAAATGGCCTCCACCTCACAGAACACTGTATCGCTTACAAGTCGATTGTCCCTTCTTTACTTCAACTGGTCCAAAATAATCTACTCCCGTGTTCGTAAATGGCGGAAGATCAGGAAGGATTCTCACCTTTGGGAGGTCTGCCATTTTTTGTTCCACTGCTCTTCCATTGTAACGTCTACAAAAGCTGCATTCAGCAATAACCTTCCTAACTGCTGCATTGGCCTTGGTAATCCAAAACATCTTCCTCACTTTAGACAGTGTATGAGTCCGTCCACCATGGCCCAGAGTCTGATGTACATGCTTAAGAATAAGCATGGAAACATGCTGATCCTTGGCGAGAATGAGGGGATGTTTGACTTCCTCAGGCATCGCTCCTCTGTTCAACCTTCCTCCAACTCTTAAGAGTCCCTCCTCCACCACTGGATCCAGTCTATATATGGGACTCTGTC